ACACAGATAATACATAATCAAGGGGTTCTAATTCTCTATTAATTTTCTTGGCAAACTTAGCAGATATAAACGAATGCGTAGAACCCGAATCAATCAACACATAGGCATCTTGGGAGCAAATTAGGAGTATACCTGACACCACTATTTCAGCATTCTGAGTATCCCCTGGTACTAACGCAAAGACTCTGCCCTGTCTCATCTGCCCTTTTCTAGCATTACCCTTCTGAACGGAACCCGAGGTATTCTCACCTTTCTTGTTGTTATCAGCCTTTGTCTTGGGGCAATCCCTCACATAGTGACCCATTTCGCCACATTCATAACAAGCTCCAGACGTCCGGCGACAGATCCCAAAATGTTGCTTCCCACAATCCGAACACGTCGGTTTAGCACTACCTTCCTGTCTTAGGTTACCAGCACTGCCCATGTTCGCCTTTTTCTTGGTGCCCAGCTGTCCTCGGCGATTGTCATAGTTCTGCCTCTTTCGCTGGTTCTCTCCCGAGCTCTGGTATCGATTTAGGTTAGCTTCGGCCTGAATGGCTTTGTCCAATACTTCGGCATTAGTCGGCATATTGAGCAAATTAACCCAGTCTTGAATCGGTCCACGAAGCCCACACTCGAACTTCCTGGCCTTCATGTATTCATCGTTGGCCATGTGAGGTACAAACCTCACCAATTCAGTAAAAGCGTGGTCGTATTCCGCCACTATTCGGTTGCCTTGCGTCAAAGTATGAAATTCGGTAGCCTTCTGGTTTCGAACACTTAGGGGAAAGTGTTTGTTGTAGAATAACTCTAAGAATCAGGTCCAGGTCAGATCTGGATTGCTTTCTCGAACCATCATCCACCATCTGCGAGCGTCATCATCCAAGGTGAATGCTGCTAACGTCACTTTCTGAGCGTTGGTGCTAGGAAAGACCTCGAACAATTTTTCCATCTCCAAAACCCACGCCTCAGCCTTCATTGGCTTTATACCCCCAGAGAATCTCGGTGGCTTCATTTTCTTGAACTCCCTGATCAAAGCTATCGTGCCATCCCCATATAAGGCTGGCTGCGGGGGAACTTGCGGCACTGGAGGAGGTGGAGGCGGAACTACATTTCGGCCGTTGGTCTGCTTGGCCTGGGTCGACGTAGCACTAGCGTATTGCTGTCTTGTTTGCCTCAACTCGCGGGCCAAACCTTCAACAAATCTTTCCAGTCTATCCATTCTGTCTTCGGGCTGATCCCGGCCAATTGGAGGTCTACCTCTCCTTATGATGCTATGAGCATGCAAGGTATGACTTTAAAACAATTAAGCAAATAACCACGTAGGCAAGTAACAAATAGGTATATCAAGACAATGCACACCTCGTTCAAATAGCAAGTACCATGATGCAATCCTAGCATCTTTCTAAGGGAAATCCTATGCTCTTTAGGACTCAAAGTGTGTGAATAACGTATACCGAGAAACTTGTGCTCTGATACCATTCTGTCACGACCCCAAACCGCCCCTAGTAGTTTGGTGCCGTGATGGCCAGTAATCCAAGATTACCGAAGGCCAACTTTCAAAACCCAACACAATCAGAGTATAATAAACGGGGCTCACAAATGCGGAAGCAATAATAAAAAATACAGGTAGTCCATAAGAGCTGTGCATAAATCGAATGTAATGTCAAACATCTCTAAATAACTTTACAAACTTGAATACAACAAGGTAAAATACGTATTACATCTTGATCAAAAGGCTTCTTGAGCCGACATATACAAAATACAGTGAATACAAGCCAAGAAGCATGATTTTCAAGATTTGCCGACATAAAGATAAATGACATTGCCGACGTAAATACAAAACAAAGCCGATAAAACCATGGATCCAAAACAAGCTTTCAAAAACACATTCTAGGCGTCGCCGATGTCCTGCTCATCACCTACATATATATAGAGAGGGTGAGCTTGGATACTCAGTGAATGGTACTAATAATAAAGGTTTTGCATGAATATAGCCGAAGTCTTTCAAAACGAAACATGCCAAAAACCATACGAGTATTAGCCGAGGTCCTTTCAGAGCAAAACACATCAAAACTCTATCAAAACAAGAGATGAACCGTATTCATATATCAAGTCTTACAAGTCTCAAGGGATGATCACTGGCATCGGCAAAACATAGATCAAGCTTTCCGAACAAACAAGTCCACGCGGTAAATCGTCAGTGGCAAAACAAGGACTGCACAATCTGTAATCGATTAGTCGAAGGTACTGCGAAAGTTTATAGTCCTCCAGCATAAGGGACTTGTGTTACTTAAGCCCGTAGCTTCTTTTCACACGATGGTCCTGTGTTACTTAGGCCCGTAGCCCGATTTAACATGATGGTCTAGCTTTACACATAGTACTGCGAAAGTTTAGAGTCCTCCAATACAAGGGACTTGTGCACTTGGTACCGCGAAAGTTTAGAGTCCTCCAATACAAGGGACTTGTGCACTTGGTACCGCGAAAGTTTAGAGTCCTCCAATACAAGGGACTTGTGCACTTGGTACCGCGAAAGTTTAGAGTCCTCCAATACAAGGGACTTGTGCACTTGGTACCGCGAAAGTTTAGAGTCCTCCAATACAAGGGACTTGTGCACTTGGTACCGCGAAAGTTTAGAGTCCTCCAATACAAGGGACTTGTGCACTTGGTACCGCGAAAGTTTAGAGTCCTCCAATACAAGGGATTATATGCATGCAAATGATCTCGGCATCCTTACCAGATCCAAGTCAATAATAAAGCAAAACATGCTGGGAGTTTAAACATCGCTCCCGTTTCATGAAACACACTGGGTACCCACCAGGTCTTTGCCGAGGTCCCACACATCCTTGCCGAGGTGTGGTCCGTTGGCCTTATCAAAAGCAAAGTCGGGAAAACCAGGGTTCTCCTTGGAAGCACATGAAGAACATGATGAACATGATCGTAAGAAAGATGAATGCAAGTTCAAAACTTGTTACAGAGATCTGAGGTTTCATGCCAAGAGTCCAAAACATGGACCTGGGTACCCATACAAGAAGGTCATGCAAGAACAAACATAAAAACATGGTTTTGGTTTCAAACTTTCGGATCAAAACGAGACTTTCATCAAGAATACATGAAAAACCATTTTCTCTTTCCAAAACCAACTTCAAATCGATGCATGACATGCAAAACAAATCCGATCATGCAATGCAGCTAGATGATCAATAACAACAACCAAGGTAGATCAAGATTCTTACCCCAAAACCCGAATCCAACGGTTCAAACCTCGAAGATCAAGCTTGGAAGATCTATTCTCACTCAAGAACTCCTCCTCCTTCTCTCTAGAGCTTCTCTCTCTAAAGGCAAAGATTTGAGACAAAATGATTTGTTTCTAGGTCTGCCGGCTGTATTAACAATCAGCTCGGACACGTGGCACTATCGGGTTGGTTCAACTCAAAAAGGTGATTGATTGATAAGACAAGTCTCAGACAAGCGTATGCAGCAAGCTAGGGCAAGGCACATCGGCAAGTAATAACATCGGCTAAAGTCAAAGCTTCGGCAACAGGATAACAAAGACATCGGCTACGGAGGACGACGCTTGACTAAGCTGTGCCACACCTTGGCCGGGGTGTGCCACATCTCGGTCTAGGCCATACCTGCCCAAGAACAAGGATCACTAAGTGCAAGACATCTCGGCAAACATGCCCGAGGTGAAGGTGGGGGTCGACCAAGGTCCCAAAACAGTTCTAAGTACAAAGGTTCAAAGGTGAACTAAGCTCAAGGTGACCTCGGCCACACACCAAGCAAGGAACAAAATCATGCAAGCAAACACTTAAACAAAACACGGCAAGGCAAAACTTGCAAGCACATAACAAGACAAGATCATACATGAATGTATGCAAGTATGACAAGAGTAAGGTGAGGGTTGCTACAATGAATATTTCAACTTTCATTGCAAAAATTTATATCGCATTATTCTATTATATTAGGGTAAATTACACTTTGCACCCTTGCACTTTTCACCAAATCTCATTTTAGCCCCCCTACACATGAAATCATTACAGTCAACCCCCACTACAACAATTTACACCTTTGGCGACCAAAATTGGCGACTAAAAGGAATTCAGTCGTCAAAAGTTGTACAATTGGCGACTAAAATTTAAATTAGTCAGTGTTGTCTCAAGTTATAACTGTGAACATAAGCTGATTTTTGACTTATAAATTAAGCTTCTCCTCCCACACTCAAAGAATAAGTTGCTTTTGACTTATAAAAAGCTATAAGTTGTATTATTAAGCTGAACCAAACACATCAAAATAGCTTAAATTAAGCTAAAAACTAAAATAAACTAGAAATAAGCCCTACAAAACAGAACCATTATCAGTCTCCAACCCAAACAAAATCCCCCCGTCTCTCTCTCTCTCTCTCTCACCGTCGATCTTCCAGCGTCGCACATTGCCACTGCCACCGCCACTTGCTCGCTGTTCGCTTCGCAGCTGCTCGCATCGCATCTCTTCAACATTGAGGTTTTTCACTTCCTCTCTCTGTCTCACTCCCTCTCGGTCTTTATTTTTCTGTCTTTCTTTCTCTATTTCCCTATTTCACTGTAGCCCTAGGGTTTACTTTTTTATGGTGTAGGGTTTTGATTTATGTGAAACCAATGAACCAATGATTGAAATGGGTTTCTATAAAATGATTGAAGGAACGAGTAATTTATTGAGGGTTTTTTTTTAGCGAGAATCAAGATTTCTCCGTTTCCCCATTTCACTCTAGTTCTAGATTCAAGATTTAGGTAGATAATTGAAAAAAAAAAAAATTAAAAGGCAGCATGTTTTTATAATCTTTTATGGATTTTTTTTTTCTTCTTCTATATAATAGACAGTTATTCTTCTAGATGAAAATTAGTCCGTTACTTAATTAGTGCAGGACATCTATGATTTCATTTGCTATAAGAACTTCATTTAAAATTTGCCTCCTTTGAATCAAACCTTACTACAATACATAATATATATAGTTGTTCTTAGACCAAAATATATTTATATATATATAGTTGTTCCTCTCTCTGTTCTGCTTTAAATTCCCAATTCAGAGCTCTCTTAAAACTTAATTTCTGTTTTGTTTTATATTTTTTCTCTGAATTAGAACTCTCTGTGAAGTGGGTTGGTGTTTAATTGAGAGAAAGATAGTTCTTGGGATCTGTTTCTGAGTTTTCTTGACCTGAGTTGACTCACGGTTTGAAATGGTTCTCAATTGAGCTTTTTAACTATTGGATGCTACTGTGCTGGAATGCTCTTCACTCACAAGTTAGCTTTGAATGTTTTGTTTATTGTTCCAATTGACAATTTCTATTGATTTTGATTTGTATGGTTGATATGTTCAATTCGATGAAGTGGATATCAATTTGTTTCATTGAAATTTTTGTATTTTTGTTTGGAAATTCTAAAAACATTATTTTTTTAATGGGTTATAGATTTGGATTGAGTAATTAACTATTGTTAGTGTCTTTATTTTTCTATCATTTGGTTTGCTACTGTGGGTTCCTTTTTCCTCTTCCCCCTTCAGTTTCTTCATCTTCCTCCAATGGAAGACAAAAGTTTAAGCTCATATACACCCTTACTCAACATTCCCACTTGTTCCCTTGTTAATTGTTTGATGTTTGAGGATCAAAACAAAGGTTAAACGCCCCCTCAAAACAGCTCCTGCTGCTGCGAAATTCTGAGTTTAGGATCGTATTTTCAAAATAGAAAAAGCAATATTAGAAAATTTTCTCTCTAGATTTTGCATTTATGTGGACACCAAACTTTTGTCTATATGTGAAAATTCTGAGTTTAGGATCGTTTTCCCAAAACGCATGACTTGTTTAATGCTAGACTTGAGTCCTTATTTTTTTCGTGAATTTCATTTTTCCTGAAGGAAAAACACGGGAAAGATATGATTAGATACAAGTCTTTGTTTAACTTTATAAAAATCCTTTTCCATACTTGCATTTTATAGGTTTATCTTCTAATAGGACAATTACCCAACTTGTAGGAATGGTTTGATTTTCTTTTATATACTCTTCTTATTTGCTTGATTTGGATCTTTTAACATGTTTTGTAATTATGTGGTTCATGGAAACTAAGTTGATGTTGAAGAGATCACTCCGCAATAACGCAGAGAAGTTTGAATTTCAGGCTGAGGTGTCTTGGCTTATGGACATCATTATCAACTCACTTTACAACAAGAAAGATACCTTCTTTAGGGAGTTAATCTCCAATGCTTCTAATGTAAGTATATTTTTCCTTGGAAATTTCCTTAACAATGATACGTTTATATCTATATTATGTTAGGCATGAATCAGGCTGGTTTCATCTTTTGCTATTGGCCGAGTGATATCGATCCAAGTTGAACTTGGAGCAAATTATAATTGTCAAGGGGGTAAACTGAATTTTGCCCGACAAAAAAACTCAAAATTAGTTCTATTGTGTAAATTATGTACCTCATATTATGTTGTATTATTATGTGATACCTGGAATTTTATTTTCATTCATTAATTGTTGATCACATTAATTGTTCAATCTGTGATCAATCTGAAGTTTATGTCAATGAAGTTTATGTGATTCACCTACTGTTGATCAATCTGTCAATGAAGTTTTGTCCCTTGTTTCTACATTAATTGTTAACTCTTTGAGTTCTGCATTATAATTGATTAACACTCATTGTGCTTCATTGTTCCGTACCTCATTGTGCTTCATTACTCTGTACCTCACATTCATTGTGAAGATTGCCACTTCTTTGTGCTTTCTAGCCCTTTCTTTTCCTGATAACCAAACAACCCTTAAATATAGTAACAGGCAGCTTCCTTGTGCGAAAAATGACTTGTGAGAACTGATGGTACATAAATAAGACATGTAGAATGGGAGTTAAAATCGAAAATACCTTTAATTTAGTCGAAAAAAGGGTTTGGGGGGTGAAAATGTAAAATAGGGCCCCAACTATTGTTGGGATGTAACATGCAGCTTCCTCATGCCAAAAATGACTTCTGACAACTGATGGTATGTAAATAGGACACGTAAATTGGGAGTTATAGTCGAAAATGCCTTAAACTTACTAAAAATATGGGGTTCGGGGGGCGAAAATGCAAAATAGCCCCCCAACCACTGTTGGGATGCAACAACAAACTTCCTCATGCGAAAAATAACTTGTGAGAACTGATGGTACGTAAATAGGACACATAGATTGGGAGTTACAGTCGAACGTCTTAAACTTCTTTGAAAAAGGGTTTTCGAGGGGCGAAAATTATAGCGATCCCGGTTTTTCCTTTCTGTATCTGTTGTTTTCCGGACTTTGGTTCTGTGATGTTGGTGGTTGTATACCTTGTTGTCATCCTTTAATTCCGCTTGATTGAGTTTAGGATGTTTTGGGCAAAGTTGTTACAGGTTGGTTAGACTTTGGTTTCAATTCCTTGTTGCCCATTTTTTAGGAGGTCCGCTCGAGCGGGTCTTCTTGCGCTCGAGCGGAGATTTCACACTCCCAGTGTTTTTGGTGCTCTGCGAAACTTCTACAAGCATGTTTTTCACGCTCGAGCGGTCACACTCGAGCGGGTAGTACATTTTTTGTGTAAGTTCTGGGAAGGGGAAATCTACGCTCGAGCGGACTGGTTTTCGCGCTCGAGCGGATATACTTTATCCTTGTGTCTTGGCGCTCGAGCGGGCCTTCTTGCGCTCGAGCGGACCTGGTTTTTTGTTCTTGACGCTCGAGCGTTGTGTTTTCCGCTCGAGCGGGAATGTCGTATAACAGAGGGCAGCGCATTTTTGAATCATTTTTCTACACTCTCTCGCTCTCTTACTTTTCCAAAAACGCCATTTGAGAGCCTCTCTCTCTAGAACCTTGCCTTCTCTTTAGGTATTGATCTAGTAGGAGTTGTCTTCTCACCTTTGGCCTTTACAAAAAAGTTGTTGATCGTCGAGGGCTATCTTTTGATCCAAGAATTTTGGGATTTGGAACATTTTCGTTTTCTTCATCTTCTTCGTTGGGTGTCATCATTTGACGTAGGGATTCCTACTCACTCTTATGGTCTTTGATATAGATTTTTGGTTGTTTTGATAAAGTGTTGAAGTTAGGAAATTTTGGGACTTAGGATTTCAAAATGTTAAAAGGGAGTTTTGCTATTTTGATTCTAAAATGTGTATCTTGGGTTTCAAAATAACGAAATTGTTGTTGGTTGTTGATATATAGACCATTGGGTCAATATTGGGAAATGAGGTAGAAAACCCTAATTGGTTGTATAAATTAATTGGTATAATTAATTTGGGAAAATTGTGATTATATGGAATTGAGTTGGGAATAATGAAATTGGCTCATTATATAGTAGAATAGTGGAGTTGGATTTATAAATCGCTCACTTTTGAAAACATTGATATTTTATCTGTTGGAGCTTTTATTATCTGTTTAGAAATAATTGCTTGGGCTACCGGTGGAGGGTAGTTTTGATTGTTGTAGACAATGCATGATGATTAGGCAAACTAAAAGTAATCAATTGGATATGTCATAGAGTATAGCTGTTGATAGAATACATTAACGTTATGTATTGATTGATTGTGTATATGACCTATGTGTATATACGTTGTGTGTGTGGGAGGAGATAGGGGATGTACTTCACGGTTTAGAGGAAGATAGATGATGGACCTCTAAACCAGATGTTATTTGGGAGGAGATAGGGGATGGACTCCACTGATACAGCTCATATGCTTGTCAGTTAACGTGTTGATATAGTTTATATGCTTATCTATGGAAGTGTTGATACAGCTCATATGCTTATCTTTGGAAGTGTTGATATAGCTAATATGCATATCTGTTGAAATGTGGATACAGCTTGTATGCTTATCTCTTGAGATGTTGATACAACTAGTATGTTTATCTATTGTAAAATGGAAAACGTTTAATATGAGTCACTGTCTCATATAAGTGGTTGGCCAGGTTCTGAGTCGTTGATGTAAATTGTGAAATTGATAAGAAATGGAAACTGAAATGAAACATGAACATAGTGGTCATGAAATGGAAATGGGTTATGAATTGATTTATGGAAATTGAACATTTATTAATTGCTAATGTCTTAGTTATTGCTCATACTGTGTTTAGCATATTTCTACTGGGCGTTGGCTCACCCTATATGGGACATTATTTTCAGGTACAGGTAGTATGCCACCTCCAAAGACATAGCTTGGATGATGATGAGAGTTGAAGACTCTTTTTGTTTATTTTGTTTGTATTACATGTATATCAAGCCAAGGGCTTATCTTGTATAGAGTTAGTACTCTTCTTTTGTGTAACCAGGTGTTGACTTGGAAAGCTGTAAGCCCATAGGGCATTTGCTTTTGTTGTTAACATGTAATACTGTTGTAAGAACTACTCTGATGAATAGAAATGGTTGGTTTCTTTTATATCAATGCATGTCTAAAGTGATGGGTTTAATGTATTTTTTTGAGGGCGTTACAAAAATGCAAAACAGCCCCGAACCAATGTATAGTTGTCACGGGCAGCATCCTCGTGACAAATAGGACCTGAGGCCACAGACAGAATGTAATTTGCATCCGTAGTTTGAGAGTTAGAGCCAAAAACGCCTTGAACTTAGTCGAAAAGGGCATTCGGGGGGTGAAAATGCAAAACAGCTCCCGAACTAATCTATGGATGTCACGGGCAGCATCCTCATGACAAATAAGACCTGTGGCCACAGACGGCATGTAATTCGCACGGATAGTATGAGAGTTAGAGCCGAAAACCCCTTCACATTTGTCCAAAAAGGGCTTCAAGGGGGCGAAAATGCTAAAAAACCCCCGAACCAATGTACGGATGTCACGGGTAGCTTCCTCATGACGAATAGGACCTGTGGGGATAGACTGGACGTAATTAGCACATGTAGGTTGGGAGTTAGAGTCGAAAAAGCCTTATACTTAACTGAAAAATGGCGTTAATGGGGCGAAAATGTGAAATAGCCCCCGAACCAATGTACAGATGTCAAGGCCACCTTTCCCGCGACAAATAGGACCTGTGACAATAGACGGAATGTAATTAACATGTGTAGATTGGGAGTTAGAGTAGAAAACGCTATAAACTTAACTAAAAAAGGGCGTTATGGGGGCAAAAATACAAAACAGCCCCCGAACCACCATATGGATGTCAAGGCCTCCTTCCCCGTGACAAATAGGACCTGTGTCAATAGACAGAATGTCATTAGCACACGTAGTTTGGAAGTTAGAGCCGAAAACGCATTAAACTTAACTGAAAAAGGGCGTTAAGGGGGCGAAAATGCAAAACAACCCCCGAACCACCGTATGGATGTCACGGCCACCTTTCTCGTGACAAATAGGACCTGTGACAATAGACGAAATGTAATTAGCACGTGTAAGTTGAGAGTTAGAGCTGAAAACACATTAAACTTAATTGAAAAAGGGCGTTAAGGGGCGAAAATGTGAAACAGCTCTCGAACCACCGTATAGATGTCACGGCCACCTTTCCCGTGACAAATAGGACCTGTGACAATAGACGGAATGTAATTAGCACGTGTAGGATGGGAGTTAGAGTCGAAAACGCATTAAACTTAACCGAAAAAGGGCATTAAGGGGGCGCAAATGCGAAACAACCCTCGAACCATTGTATGGATGTCACGGCCACCTTCTCCATGACAAATAGGACCTGTCACAACAGATAGAATGTAATTAACACGTGTAGGTTGGGAGTTAAAGCCAAAAATGCATTAAACTTAACCGAAAAAGGGCGTTAAGGGGGCGAAAATGTGAAACAACCCTTGAACCACCGTATGGATGTCACGGTCACCTTCCCCATGAAAAATAGGACTTATGACAATAGACGGAATGTAATTAGCACGTGTAGGTTGGGAGTTAGAGCTGAAAACACATTAAACTTAACCGAAAAAGGGTGTTAAGGGGCGAAAATGCGAAACAGCCCCCGAACCACCATATGGATGTCACGGCTACCTTCCCCGTGACAAATAGGACCTGTGACAATAGACAGAATGTAATTAGCACGTGTAGGTTGGGAGTTAGAGCCGAAAATGCATTAAACTTAACGTTATTATTTTAGTTTGGACAGTAGTTGGTCTGTATGGACCTTGACATTAATGTTATTCATTTTTTGTATACAGATGTAGATGTGAAATGATGGATAGTATACATATTGTTTTGCTTATATACATATTACAGGTAGCATGGAATATAGACAGGTTGTGAAGAAATTATAATTTTGCGATAAAACATAAGATCATGTTTTTGGGGACTAAATTGTTAGTATTAAAAAAAAATTCAGAAAATAGTTTTGGCTACTAAAAGTTTAGTAGCCAAAAAAAAAAAACAATCAAATATTGGCGACTAAAATATTTTGTAGCAAAAAACAATCAAACATATGGCGACTAAAATATGTCATAGACTCGTAGCTAAAAAAATAAGTTGAAGAAATAAAAAAAAACTTTTGGCGACTAAAATCTTAGTAGCAAAAAACATAACACTTTAGGCGACTAAACCTTTAGTAGGCAAAAAATTTTTTGACTTTAGGCGACTAA